AGAACACATTTTTAGATTGATCTTCCTACAAACATTTGTTTGACAAAAAAAGATGCCACCTAACAAAGGACACTAAGGAGATGATTATTGTTTTGCCTGATTTTGAAATGTCTGAGAAAATGTTTGCTGCTTTATTATTTGGTAAGCATAGTTTTGAATAAAACTAAAAAGAGAAACAAAAAAAGTATCAAGTGTTTTAAGAAAAAGAATAAGTATCGTTAGCCTTGCACAAGGGTCTGCAATGACTGCAGACAGCCATTAGACTGTACTGACTGATACACTAGACTGGTATTATAGTTAACATGACTTATTTGTCATTACTTGCAACAATGAAATGTGACCTCTGCATTTAACCCATCACCACAGTGAGCGCCTGAGGACCCAAGTCTGCTTCGTAAACCACCAAGACAAACGTTGTCACAACAATCAAGGATATACCAATAGCACACATCACAAAGCAAAACAGTGTAATGATGTCTGAACTCGAGAGCCAGTGCGCATTTTTGCAAATTTATTTGATGGTTCAAATGACGAAACATTAGCTGTTTTTGAGGCTAAGGTGGCCCAGAGAAACACAGAAGCTGCTTATATGCTGCCTCGTGTGGTCAGTCTGTGTCACTGTAAAAAATACGAAACCTAAGCTTCCTAACACGCTTCTAAAACAGTGAAAAGTTACAGACAACAGACAAACAGAGAAACAGTCTAAATTGGTTAACGATACCATTGGCCTAACACTGGTTAGACCAAACATTTTGACTCGCGGGCAACAATTTTCCTAAAATTAAACGGGGGGCTAGTTCAGGAGCAGATAGATGGAGCGTTCGTGTGAACTAAGAAAAATAACATGGAAAGTCATGCATAAAGGCTAAAATTGTAAAATGCTTTTATCATTTTCTAAGCCATCTTTTGGGGAAACGTGGGTATTGCAGAGAAAAGACAGAAGTATAATGATAATATCCATCCATCCAACCATTTACATACGCCTATCCGTTACCGGCCGTCACCCAAACACTGCACCGTACCAAGCCCCCTGAACCTTCCTGTGGGTGGTGAGTCCACTGGAAGGTACCAACCGCCCTAAACCGGGATTCAATCTTGCTCAGGAGGTGAACCCTGGGGTTCCACACCAATAACAGAGACGTTGCCTCTGGGCCAAAGCACCACTATAATGATAATATAAATAAAT